TGAGTGTGTGTGTGGGCAGTGAGTGTGTGTGTGTGTGGCAGTGAGTGTGAGTGTGTGTGTTACCCAGGGTGAGGGTCTGGGATGTTGAATCTCTTGCAGAGCAGTTTGTCTGGATGCCACTCGAACGTTTCTCTCGTCAGTTTCCCGAACATCTTCATGTTCACCGCCGCCTGCTGGTCGTCAACGACAACCTGAGAACACAAACAAACAAACAAACAAACAAACAAACAATGAGAGATTTACAACTAAAGTCAAATTGTTTAAAAAGTGCCAAAATAATATTTGTTTTATTGTACACTATAGTTCAAATAAATACATATACAATGAGAAAATGGGAATATTAAAAATAAATTTAAATAAATTTAAATAATTCAGCCAAATGTATAATCTTTCAAAAATGCTTTAATTCTTAAAGTATTTTATTGAGCATTTCTTTCTAGGAGAAAAAGTTAGATTATAATGACTAGATATATGGAAATATGAAATAAGTTATACTGCATGCATTAGAGCAGGGGTTCCCAAAGTGGGGGTCGCGACCCCCCCCATGCAAATGAGCCATAACTCATTAAATATGCGCATATCTTAATACTTTCAGGAACACAATTCTGAACTTTGGATAAAGCCAGGTTCGAAATTCTTGTTTCATTTTGTAGTCATGTCAGAATCTAAAGTTTCTACAGAAGGGATTTAGGGTATCTCTTTGTATCACTCCATACATCAGAAAATACTGCTCTAAAATATCAATTTTCGCCATGTTTTTAGGTATAAAATGTTATATAATTTAGCCTATGAATGATATATGAACAAACCCTTCTGTAAAAGCCTTCATAATATTGATAGGAATATAACTGGAAGGTTTGTTCACCAGCCAATGAGATTTAGTTTCTTGGTTTAAGACCCCTTTGCACTTTCACGATTGGTTGCTGACACAAAGGAAATGACCATATTTGGATCCGATGAGATTGTGCAGGAGAGACGGAGCTTTCCAACGATGACATGGTGCAAACAGCGGTCGCGGCACATTATGTTACGTTAGAAAGCTAACTTTTGGTGAATTGAGGAGAAACCTACAGACGCAAATAGACAAACTATAGTCAAATAAACACCTAAATGTGTATTTTGTACATTTTCCATCCAAAAGCTTGAAAGAAAACATGTTATGGAATCAAAATAGCACAAAATCTCAAAATTGATCAGTGCATGAAAAACGATGTGTGTGCCTGCCGTGTCTCGCCTTCATGAGCGAGACACACCGGAGTTTAGGATCTGTGGGGTTTGTATGTCGATGTATGGGAAACACTGTTATTTGTATTACAATAATTAATAATAACGTGTGCAGACCCTTTTCAGGGGCGGACTGGCCATCTGAAGAATGTCTCCCCCCCGTTAACAATTCAAGTATGTTATGAGTTGTTGTGCATGTTGAAAGCTCTTGTATCAGTCATACTGTGTGTTAGCATGTGTTAGCGCCCCCTGCTGTACCTCCTGCTCCTTGCCCTCCTCCTCTTCCTCCTGCTGCTCCTCCTCCCCTCTCTTGGCTCTGGTGAAGCGAGAGGAGAGGAAGGAGGAGGACGGTCTGTAGAGGATGGACGCTCGGACGAACTCGTCTCTCTCTCTGCTGCGCTCCCACTCCGTCATGCCGGGGTCCAGACTCTGCTCCAGCCCGTCTGAGGGCGCATGGAGTAATACATGAATACATGAATACATGAATACATGAATACATGAATACATGAATACATGAATACATGAATACATGAAAGTGGAGCACGCACGTGAACTGCCATCGTGCTCCACGAGCACCACAAGGAGGTCAGGTACTCTTTAAAACAGCTGCTAGGTATGGGTACTTTTTACTGAAGTACATTTCAAAGCCTCTTTACTTTGACTTGAGTAAAGAAGTTTAGTCAGTACTTCTACTTTCACCAGAGTATTTTTAAACACGAGTATCTGTACTTCTACTTGAGTAAAGGATGTGTGTACTTCTACTTGAGTAAAGAAGTTTAGTCAGTACTTCTACTTTCACCAGAGTATTTTTAAACACGAGTATCTGTACTTCTACTTGAGTAAAGGGTGTGTGTACTTCTACTTGAGTACAGGATGTGTGTACTTCTACTTTAATACAGGATGTGTGTACTTCTACTTAAGTAATGAAGTTTAGTCAGTACTTCTACTTTCACCAGAGTATTTTTAAACACGAGTATCTGTACTTCTACTTGAGTAAAGGATGTGTGTACTTCTACTTGAGTACAGGATGTGTGTACTTCTACTTGAATACAGGATGTGTGTACTTCTACTTGAGTAATGAAGTTTAGTCAGTACTTCTACTTTCACCAGAGTATTTTTAAACACGAGTATCTGTACTTCTACTTGAGTAAAGGGTGTGTGTACTTCTACTCGAGTACAGGATGTATGTACTTCTACTCGAGTACAGGATGTATGTACTTCTACTTGAGTAATGAAGTTTAGTCAGTACTTCTACTTTCACCAGAGTATTTTTAAACACGAGTATCTGTACTTCTACTTGAGTAAAGGGTGTGTGTACTTCTACTCGAGTACAGGATGTGTGTACTTCTACTCGAGTACAGGATGTGTGTACTTCTACTCGAGACAGATTTCAATAACCCGTATATTAGAGAGTATTCTAATTTAGTAATATGTATATATAGTGTTTTTAATTTGTAATATGTTGATGATGTGTCTGCTGAGGATCAGAGTGCATGCTGGGACTTGTAGTACCTCTGTCGCCCTGCTTCAGGCAGTTCAGGTACAGGTCGTAGCGCGCCTGTTTGCTCGGGTCCTTGTCGAACGGTCGGAAGCTCTGATTGGACGCCGGCACCCCCCTCCATGCTGTCAGAGCCTCCTGCTGCAGGCCGACGCCCACATCTGGACGCCGCAGTGCATCATGGGAGGTGGAGTTGGGGGTGGAGGTTCGGAGGTCCAGCAGTCGCTTCCTGTCTTCAGGCTTCAGAAGCTCCAGGACGGAGCTGGGACCTGAGCGGGGGAACACAATCATATCGGTTATATGTTTTTCATTCTGACCCCACAGGGATTAATAAAGGTCCATCTTATCTTAAAGGTCTCCTGTCATGTTATTTTCAGGCATGTATTATGGGTCTCAGATATATACAAATATATAAAAACATGTCTATGAAGTGTTTTGCTCAAAAACCAAACAGATCATTTTAGAAATCCCTCATTTCCCTCAGTTTCAGCTGATAGAGAAACGCTGACTCTGGGTCAGTAGCTTCAGAGAGAGAGTAGATCTCATCAGGAGAACTCTCCCAGCTGTTACTAAAGAGCTGACTCTGGGTCAGTAGCTTCAGAGAGAGAGTAGATCTCATCAGGAGAACTCTTCCCAGCTGTTACTAAAGAGCTGACTCTGGGTCAGTAGCTTCAGAGAGAGAGTAGATCTCATCAGGAGAACTCTTCCCAGCTGTTACTAAAGAGCTGACTCTGGGTCAGTAGCTTGCAGAGAGAGAGTAGATCTCATCAGGAGAACTCTCCCAGCTGTTACTAAAGAGCTGACTCTGGGTCAGTAGCTTCAGAGAGAGAGTAGATCTCATCAGGAGAACTCTTCCCAGCTGTTACTAAAGAGCTGACTCTGGGTCAGTAGCTTCAGAGAGAGAGTAGATCTCATCAGGAGAACTCTTCCAGCTGTTACTAAAGAGCTGACTCTGGGTCAGTAGCTTCAGAGAGAGAGTAGATCTCATCAGGAGAACTCTCCCAGCTGTTACTAAAGAGCTGACTCTGGGTCAGTAGCTTCAGAGAGAGAGTAGATCTCATCAGGAGAACTCTCCCAGCTGTTACTAAAGAGCTGACTCTGGGTCAGTAGCTTCAGAGAGAGAGTAGATCTCATCAGGAGAACTCTCCCAGCTGTTACTAAAGAGCTGACTCTGGGTCAGTAGCTTCAGAGAGAGAGTAGATCTCATCAGGAGAACTCTCCCAGCTGTTACTAAAGAGCTGACTCTGGGTCAGTAGCTTGAGAGAGAGAGTAGATCTCATCAGGAGAACTCTCCCAGCTGTTACTAAAGAGCTGACTCTGGGTCAGTAGCTTCAGAGAGAGAGTAGATCTCATCAGGAGAACTCTCCCAGCTGTTACTAAAGAGCTGACTCTGGGTCAGTAGCTTCAGAGAGAGAGTAGATCTCATCAGGAGAACTCTCCCAGCTGTTACTAAAGAGCTGACTCTGGGTCAGTAGCTTCAGAGAGAGAGTAGATCTCATCAGGAGAATTCTCCCAGCTGTTACTAAAGAGCTGACTCTGGGTCAGTAGCTTCAGAGAGAGAGTAGATCTCATCAGGAGAACTCTCCCAGCTGTTACTAAAGAGCTGACTCTGGGTCAGTAGCTTCAGAGAGAGAGTAGATCTCATCAGGAGAACTCTCCCAGCTGTTACTAAAGAGCTGACTCTGGGTCAGTAGCTTCAGAGAGAGAGTAGATCTCATCAGGAGAACTCTCCCAGCTGTTACTAAAGAGCTGACTCTGGGTCAGTAGCTTCAGAGAGAGAGTAGATCTCATCAGGAGAACTCTCCCAGCTGTTACTAAAGAGCTGACTCTGGGTCAGTAGCTTGAGAGAGAGAGTAGATCTCATCAGGAGAACTCTCCCAGCTGTTACTAAAGAGCTGACTCTGGGTCAGTAGCTTCAGAGAGAGAGTAGATCTCATCAGGAGAACTCTCCCAGCTGTTACTAAAGGAGCTGACTCTGGGTCAGTAGCTTCAGAGAGAGAGTAGATCTCATCAGGAGAACTCTCCCAGCTGTTACTAAAGAGCTGACTCTGGGTCAGTAGCTTCAGAGAGAGAGTAGATCTCATCAGGAGAACTCTCCCAGCTGTTACTAAAGAGCTGACTCTGGGTCAGTAGCTTCAGAGAGAGAGTAGATCTCATCAGGAGAACTCTCCCAGCTGTTACTAAGGAGCTGACTCTGGGTCAGTAGCTTCAGAGAGAGAGTAGATCTCATCAGGAGAACTCTCCCAGCTGTTACTAAAGAGCTGACTCTGGGTCAGTAGCTTCAGAGAGAGAGTAGATCTCATCAGGAGAACTCTCCCAGCTGTTACTAAAGAGCTGACTCTGGGTCAGTAGCTTGCAGAGAGAGAGTAGATCTCATCAGGAGAACTCTCCCAGCTGTTACTAAAGAGCTGACTCTGGGTCAGTAGCTTCAGAGAGAGAGTAGATCTCATCAGGAGAATTCTCCCAACTGTTACTAAAGAGCTGACTCTGGGTCAGTAGCTTCAGAGAGAGAGTAGATCTCATCAGGAGAATTCTCCCAACTGTTACTAAAGAGCTGACTCTGGGTCAGTAGCTTCAGAGAGAGAGTAGATCTCATCAGGAGAACTCTCCCAGCTGTTACTAAAGAGCTGACTCTGGGTCAGTAGCTTCAGAGAGAGAGTAGATCTCATCAGGAGAACTCTCCCAGCTGTTACTAAAGAGCTGACTCTGGGTCAGTAGCTTGAGAGAGAGAGTAGATCTCATCAGGAGAACTCTCCCAGCTGTTACTAAAGAGCTGACTCTGGGTCAGTAGCTTCAGAGAGAGAGTAGATCTCATCAGGAGAACTCTCCCAGCTGTTACTAAAGAGCTGACTCTGGGTCAGTAGCTTCAGAGAGAGAGTAGATCTCATCAGGAGAACTCTCCCAGCTGTTACTAAAGAGCTGACTCTGGGTCAGTAGCTTCAGAGAGAGAGTAGATCTCATCAGGAGAACTCTCCCAGCTGTTACTAAAGAGCTGACTCTGGGTCAGTAGCTTCAGAGAGAGAGTAGATCTCATCAGGAGAACTCTCCCAGCTGTTACTAAAGAGCTGACTCTGGGTCAGTAGCTTGAGAGAGAGAGTAGATCTCATCAGGAGAACTCTCCCAGCTGTTACTAAGGAGCTGACTCTGGGTCAGTAGCTTCGGAGAGAGAGTAGATCTCATCAGGAGAACTCTCCCAGCTGTTACTAAAGAGCTGACTCTGGGTCAGTAGCTTCAGAGAGAGAGTAGATCTCATCAGGAGAACTCTCCCAGCTGTTACTAAAGAGCTGACTCTGGGTCAGTAGCTTCAGAGAGAGAGTAGATCTCATCAGGAGAACTCTCCCAGCTGTTACTAAAGAGCTGACTCTGGGTCAGTAGCTTGAGAGAGAGAGTAGATCTCATCAGGAGAACTCTCCCAGCTGTTACTAAGGAGCTGACTCTGGGTCAGTAGCTTCAGAGAGAGAGTAGATCTCATCAGGAGAACTCTTCCAGCTGTTACTAAAGAGCTGACTCTGGGTCAGTAGCTTGAGAGAGAGAGTAGATCTCATCAGGAGAACTCTCCCAGCTGTTACTAAAGAGCTGACTCTGGGTCAGTAGCTTCAGAGAGAGAGTAGATCTCATCAGGAGAATTCTCCCAACTGTTACTAAAGAGCTGACTCTGGGTCAGTAGCTTCAGAGAGAGAGTAGATCTCATCAGGAGAACTCTCCCAGCTGTTACTAAAGAGCTGACTCTGGGTCAGTAGCTTCAGAGAGAGAGTAGATCTCATCAGGAGAACTCTCCCAGCTGTTACTAAAGAGCTGACTCTGGGTCAGTAGCTTCAGAGAGAGAGTAGATCTCATCAGGAGAACTCTCCCAGCTGTTACTAAAGAGCTGACTCTGGGTCAGTAGCTTCAGAGAGAGAGTAGATCTCATCAGGAGAACTCTCCCAGCTGTTACTAAAGACCTGACTCTGGGTCAGTAGCTTCAGAGAGAGAGTAGATCTCATCAGGAGAACTCTCCAGCTGTTACTAAAGAGCTGACTCTGGGTCAGTAGCTTCAGAGAGAGAGTAGATCTCATCAGGAGAATTCTCCCAGCTGTTACTAAAGAGCTGACTCTGGGTCAGTAGCTTGAGAGAGAGAGTAGATCTCATCAGGAGAACTCTCCCAGCTGTTACTAAAGAGCTGACTCTGGGTCAGTAGCTTCAGAGAGAGAGTAGATCTCATCAGGAGAACTCTCCCAGCTGTTACTAAAGAGCTGACTCTGGGTCAGTAGCTTCAGAGAGAGAGTAGATCTCATCAGGAGAACTCTCCCAGCAGAAACTCAGCTAAATGCTGCCGTGACTAAACTCCATATCATGTTCCAAACCACATGAAGGATTCTCTCTGAAACAGCATGGAGCTCAAACTCTTTCTCTCTCTCAGGTTTACCACAAGGTGACTTCCTTTTGATTTCCTGCTTCTTCACACATGCTCTCTCCAGTACAGGTTAGCTCTGAGTGTTAGCATGCTAATGTGAACACAGACCATATAACTTCCAGAACACGTCTCATTGTTTCTGACAGCAACGTTTCTGATTGGCCCGTGGGTGTAAAGCCCGCCCACATTTTAGTCATGTGGTCATGACGCAGCAAATCTGGATCAGCTCCGTTGATCCCCCGTTTTTAGAGATGTGGGTACGGAGGAAAAGAGAGAGGGGTTTATTTCCTGACACTTTGAGAGTCTCCTGACACACCGGGGACACACCGGGAACACACCGGGGACACACCGGGGACACACCGGGGACACACGGGGGGGACACCGGGGACACATGGGGGACACACCGGGGACACATGGGGGACACACGGGGGGACACGGTGATGTAGAGAAGACATCACTTTGTGAGTCTCCTCCTGACACACCGGGGACACACGAGAGGTTTCTCAATACTCTCATTTCCCCTCCTCGACTCCTCTACCCCTCGACTCCTCGGTCCTCCGGTAGTGACCCGGAAATGAATTTCAGCGCGCCATGTTGAAGGACATCTCATTTCTCTAAATGCACATCGAGGACCGAGCGTGGAGGAGGCTCTCTGGAGGAGCTCTAACCGAGGAGACACTGATGGGTCCTCCACGGTCCTCCACGGCTCCTTCGTGGATGCATTTCCAGGAGCGGTGGAGGCGTGGCGCACGGCCGGACTGATCTCAGCTCTGCATTACTATTATTTTATTAACTGCTTTCATCAGACGCGATGTTTCCAGAGAGACCAGCTGTGAGGTCCGTGCAGAAAGCAGAGCAGTGTGTATCATATATATCACTCAGTATAACAGGCCTACTCTCTTTGCTTTAGTTTAGTAGATATCTACAAACTAAGAGTCCAGATGTTTCTAAAACCATTTAGTGCTTCACAAAATAAAATACACAACGGCTGCAGCCTGATGATTATATCCAGTCTCTGATTGTGTTACGTTATGAGAGTGCTCTCATACTTTAAATTGTATATATTTATATAAATATATATGTGTGTATATATGTCTGCATCTGTAGCCTGTTATTGTCTCATTATACCGCACTGTGAATGAATCAAAGTAAATATAGAAGTGGTCATGAACACATCTGTCCATCAGACAGAGGGCTGCTGTGCCTCCTGTCATCATTAATGGACGTCTCTTTAAAATGACCGCTCAGAGGAGAGGAGTTCTCATTTCTCTAACCGCCTGCTGCTTCCCCTCCTCTCTCCTCGGCTCCCCTCCTCTCTCCTCGGCTCCCCTCCTCTCTCCTCGGTTCCCCTCCTCGAGTCCTCGGCTCGCATCTCCTGTGAGCGGGACTAGGTCTCGAGGATAGGAGTCGAGGATAGGAGTCGAGGAGGGGAAATTAGAGTATTGAGAAGCCTCCAGTGCAGGCATGGGCAAACTAAAGCCCAACGGGCCATATACGGCCCGTTGGGCTTTAGAATCCGGCCCGCCGAATATTGGTACAAAATTGTCCAAATTATCGTAAAGACCGCATTCATTTAGCCTTTTTCCTGCAATACCCGGCATTTCAGTTGATCCCACTAGATGGCGCACTCTAGACACATTGACCTGTGCTAGAGTCTGGTCTATTCTCTCAGCTGGCCCCACTCGGCAACCCGGATAGATCTGAGAACCAAATACGTCACGCTTACATTGGAGGAGGTCGAGATTAACCTGAGCAGCAATAACAGTTCATGGCAAATACACGTTGTAACTGAGTAGCGCTGAGCAAAGTGAGTAGAACGCAACCACACACTTATAAAAAACACTTATATAAAGTCAGGCAACACTAACCGGGCTGAGTGTGATTCTGTTTATTTGACCTTACTTTAATGACCATCCGTTCACTGTTATTGATCATTGTGAAGAGGCAGACGTTTGCCTGTTGTTTTGTATTATAGCAGCTATCGGATCAATACATGGGCTACATGCGGCCATCACAAGTACAATCATAACGAAAACTACGCCAGTAAAATATGCGTGTAGAAAACGGCTTGTGCCACAATATGATAGCAACAAGTAGTCAAGATAGTCTGATTAGCTTCGGTTGCTATGCTAACATCACCTGGAGAATGCCAGAGACACTTTCATAACAGCGTTGTGATGCCGAACAGCTTTCAGACTGAAACACATTCACTGATGGGGGGGGGGATATCTATCAGCTGCTTGTGTGACAGTCAGACAGAGAATACTTTCCAGCGGCCGCTGCCACGAGTTAACGGGAGAATAAACTCCGGTAGACGAGCAGCACTGCAGCGGGCAGTAATGCAGCTGAACCACTTTAATAAACACCACGGCACTCTGGAGAAAGGTACGGCTGGAGAAGTAGTTCTTTAATTGTATCTGGCTTCGTATGATTAAAAACTACCCGACGCAGTCCTCTACTGATGTTGTTGTGAGCGGTGTTGCGGAGAAAATCAGCGACGTAAAACGCTGTGTGGGTCATTAGAAGGCACGTAAACGGTTACGTCATGACGCAAATGATGACACAATAATTCACCTTTGAACCTAACTCACCTTTGAACCTAACTCACCTTTGAACCTAACTCACCTTTGAACCTAACCCACCTTTGAACCTAACTCACCTTTGAACCTAACTCACCGTTGAACCTAATTCACCGTTGAACCTAACTCACCTTTGAACCTAACTCACCTTTGAACCTAACCCACCTTTGAACCTAACTCACCTTTGAACCTAACTCACCTTTGAACCTAACCCACCTTTGAACCTAACTCACCTTTGAACCTAACTCACCTTTGAACCTAATTCACCTTTGAACCTAATTCACCTTTGAACCTAACTCACCTTTGAACCTAACTCACCTTTGAACCTAACTCACCTTTGAACCTAACTCACCTTTGAACCTAACTCACCTTTGAACCTAACTCACCTTTGAACCTAACTCACCTTTGAACCTATCTCACCTTTGAACCTAACTCACCTTTGAACCTAACTCACCTTTGAACCTAACTCACCTTTGAACCTATCTCACCTTTGAACCTAACTCACCTTTGAACCTAACCCACCTTTGAACCTAACTCACCTTTGAACCTAACTCACCTTTGAACCTAACCCACCTTTGAACCTAACTCACCTTTGAACCTAACTCACCTTTGAACCTAATTCACCTTTGAACCTAATTCACCTTTGAACCTAACTCACCTTTGAACCTAACCCACCTTTGAACCTAACTCACCTTTGAACCTAACTCACCTTTGAACCTAATTCACCTTTGAACCTAACCCACCTTTGAACCTAACTCACCTTTGAACCTAATTCACCTTTGAACCTAACTCACCTTTGAACCTAACCCACCTTTGAACCTAACTCACCTTTGAACCTAACTCACCTTTGAACCTAATTCACCTTTGAACCTAACTCACCTTTGAACCTAACTCACCTTTGAACCTAACTCACCTTTGAACCTAATTCACCTTTGAACCTAACTCACCTTTGAACCTAATTCACCTGCCGAGTGTATAATGAGGAGTGGACAGCTATGTTCACCGATCTGCTCCTGGCCCGGCCCTCACGTAACATTTTAAACCCATAGTGGCCCCGAGCCACAAGGTGTGCCCACCCTGCTCTGGTGTGATGGAGAAACATCAGAAAGTGCATTCTGCATGACAGGAGAGCTTTGAAGAGTTCCTACCCTGCAGGGCGTCCTCCCCCAGCAGCGCCCTCCTCTGGCCGGAGTCCAGCTGGTGTCGGCTCCCCTGCTGAGGGACCCCCTGCTGGGATACCTCCGGCACCATGTGGCCCCTGGAGAGCCTCAGAGCCTCGGCCAGAGCCGGACTCACCCCCGACAGGTGAGACACGTCCGGAGGGGGACGGACACGACGGATTGGACGGAAGTCTGGAGGCAGGCAGGGAGGAGGGAAGATCTGAAGGGGACAGGAGATCAGTTTAATACAGAGACAGGTCTTCACACTAATTACAGGTTATCAACACAATGTGTTATCATTATTTTCAAAGACAATTATTTTCTTTATAAAAACAAGATTTGGTTTTCGCGGTCATAATGATCATTATGAATGTAAAGATGAAGGAGTTTAATTTGAATAGAGAGACACTTCTTTACTTTGAATAACTATGAATATAATTACAATAATAATACAGGAGGGAATTTAAATGATTGATTAATACAAATAATAATAAATAATAATAAATAATAATAAATAATGCTAAGTTAATTGAAAGAAATAATAATAATGAAGGTGTTTATTTTAATATGTATTATATTAAGTAAAAAAAATAAGATTAGATTAAGATTAATAATAATATATAATGATATATAATTAAAAAACATATTTTAATTATATAATTATTAAAGGTCCCATGTCACGGCCATTTCTACTGATCATAGTTCCCTTGTTGAGGTCTACTAGAATAGATGTACATTGTTCAATGTTCCAAACTCTCATTGGTTTCTCAAACAGCATCTCTGTATAGTCTGTGTATTCACTCTCTGTCCTACACGGCTTGTTGGAGCTCCTGCCCCCCCCCCCGTGTGAGCCCACTGTGCTCTGATTGGTCAGCTCGCCCACTCTGTTCTGATGAGTCCACCACCGTTACAGCGGAACATCAGAGATTATGTTTTACAATGGCGTTTGTTAGCAACCAGGAAATGACACCAGTAATGACAAACAGAGGGGAATGCTGCGTGGGGTCTGGGTGCCGTGTTGGGGGGCCGTCAGGGCACTATGCCAGTCACGTCACTATGCCCGTCACGGGACTATGCCCGTCACGTCACTATGCCCGTCACGTCACTATGCCCGTCACGTCACTATGCCCGTCACGGGACTATGGCCGTCACGTCACTATGCCCGTCACGGGACTATGCCCGTCACGTCACTATGCCGTCACGGGACTATGCCCGTCACGTCACTATGCCCGTCACGTCACTATGCCCGTCACGGGACTATGCCCGTCACGTCACTATGCCCGTCACGTCACTATGCCCGTCACGGGACTATGCCCGTCACGTCACTATGCCCGTCACGTCACTATGCCCGTCACGTCACTATGCCCGTCACGTCACTATGGCCCGTCACGGGACTATGCCCGTCACGTCACTATGCCGTCACGTCACTATGCCCGTCACGGGACTATGCCCGTCACGTCACTATGCCCGTCACGTCACTATGCCGTCACGGGACTATGCCCGTCACGTCACTATGTCCGTCACGGGACTATGCCCGTCACGTCACTATGCCCGTCACGTCACTATGCCCGTCACGTCACTATGGCCGTCACGTCACTATGCCCGTCACGTCACTATGCCCGTCACGTCACTATGCCCGTCACGGGACTATGCCCGTCACGTCACTATGCCCGTCACGTCACTATGCCCGTCACGTCACTATGCCCGTCACGTCACTATGCCCGTCACGGGACTATGCCCGTCACGTCACTATGCCCGTCACGTCACTATGCCCGTCACGGGACTATGCCCGTCACGTCACTATGCCCGTCACGTCACTATGCCGTCACGGGACTATGCCCGTCACGTCACTATGCCCGTCACGTCACTATGGCCGTGACTATGGCCGTCACGTCACTATGGCCGTCACGTCACTATGCCCGTCACGTCACTATGCCCGTCACGTCAATATGCCCGTCACGTCACTATGGCCGTCACGTCACTATGCCCGTCACGTCACTATGCCCGTCACGTCACTATGGGTCACTATGCCCGTCACGTCACTATGCCCGTCACGTCACTATGCCCGTCACGGGACTATGCCCGTCACGTCACTATGCCCGTCACGTCACTATGGCCGTCACGGGACTATGCCCGTCACGGGACTATGCCCGTCACGTCACTTGCCCGTCACGTCACTAGCCCGTCACGTCACTATGGCCGTCACGTCACTATGCCCGTCACGTCACTATGCCCGTCACGTCACTATGCCCGTCACGGGACTATGCCCGTCACGTCACTATGCCCGTCACGTCACTATGCCCGTCACGTCACTATGCCCGTCACGTCACTATGGCCGTCACGTCACTATGCCCGTCACGTCACTATGCCCGTCACGTCACTATGCCCGTCACGGGACTATGCCCGTCACGTCACTATGCCCGTCACGTCACTATGCCCGTCACGGGACTATGCCCGTCACGTCACTATGCCCGTCACGTCACTATGCCCGTCACGGGACCATACTCAGGAAGAAAAAAATGGAAAAATAAAGATGTCAAACGGGGCGTTCTGGGGCAGCATAGACAGGTCTTCTCTGTGTTAGAGTTTTACTCGCTACAGGGTGTACTTTGAGGGTTTGTGACTCTGCAGACCGTTTACATAAAAGCTTCTTAACACACAAGGGGACGGGTAATAACCGGAAAAGCATGACATGGGACCTTTAATGTTCATTTAGGAACCAATTTAGTTTGAATATAAAATGTGTTTAAAGACTGTTATATGAGTCTTGGACCTAGTCATAGTAACTAGGTATGTTATTGAATTACAGTTTCCATAGAATAGCCTCTTTGCTAATTATTACGTTAAGTGAGCTGACGCCGAGCTCAGAGGAAATGCAAAGAGACTACATTTAGATATAATACAGTTAAGTGTTAGTTAATGGAAGAAATGTATGTGCGTTCATGTGCAGACGTATATATAGTTTGTTAATTGGATAATTCATATCCTGCAAGACTCCTAAAGAAGTCATGAGATGATGACCTTTGGACATCTGGAACATGTCCAAGTTTAGGAAACCTATATCTGCCCTGTGTTTCTTCTGTTCGTGGGAGCATTTCTGCGATTGGTTGCTGTTGAAGCAAGGTCATGTTTCCCCATTGTTGTTTGGTGGTGCGCAACTAAATAATAATGATTAATCTCAACTATTTCTGTGTTTGTGTTTCATTGATTCCTCTCTGTTTCATTCTTTCATGTTGTGTGAGTGCTGGATCTCCACAACAAGACTTTCATCTTTTAGTGTTTGTATAATCAAAGAGACTTTATTTTTAACAGTTTATTTGATAAACTAATTAACAATAATAATATATATAACAACAAAATAAATAATAATAGATTTAATTTAAATAGCGCCTTTCAAGGGACCCAACGCCGCTTTCCATGAGGTAAGGACAAACACAACAACAACAACAACAACACTGAAGCCTCACTGTTTTCAGCTCCTGAGTGTTTTGAGCCAGAGTGAAACCCTCCAGGATCTTCCCCAGGTACGACGCGTCCTTGCTTTTTTCTGTGAACGCATCAGAAGAGAAAACACACATTATAGAGGAAACACACATTATAGAGGAAACACACATTATAGAGGAAACACACATTATAGAGGAAACACACATTATAGAGGAAACACACATTATGAGGAAACACACATTATAGAGGAAACACACATTATGAGGAAACACACATTATAGAGGAAACACACATTATAGAGGAAACACACATTATAGAGGAAACACACATTATAGAGGAAACACACATTATAGAGGAAACACACATTATAGAGGAAACACACATTATAGAGGAAACACACATTATAGAAACACACATTATAGAGATGTCAGTTATCACAGACTGTTATTTCTCGTTCCAGCAGCAGCTCGTAGAGGTCTCTCTTGTTATCTCTTACTCGTAGATAATACTATAATCGTATAAAGCTGTATTGTATTCTGAGGAGAACAGAAGGAGAAGAGCTAAAGATGGAACGTGAAATAAAACCTGCTCATTGTTGAGAAGTGACTGATTTACTCTGTCCTTAAAGGTGGGGTAGGTAAGTTTGAGAAACCAGCTCGAGATCGCTAGAATTTGAAAATACACAACTGGAGAAAATCTGCCACTTCCTCACAGAGCCCCTCCTCCAACACACACGAACGCGCACATGACCAATGAGGGCACGAGATAAGTTTGTGCACAGATGGAAGGCTGACAGGCAGGTAGGCCATCCAGTTATTTTAGCCGGGCCGGCTCAGATGATTGGTCGTGCTTTTTTACAGTACTACAGCTTCCACTGATGATATTTATTTATGGATTTTTTGTCAAAGCACTTCAGATATTCATTGCTATCTGGATGTTAAGAGCATTCCATGGAATATAACAAGTGTATCTCGAGCCGGTTTCTCAAACTTACCTACCCCACCTTTAAGTAACATTTTGAGGTACTTGTACAAGATCTGAGTACTTCTACTTTTACTCAAGTACAAGATCTGAGTACTTCTACTTTTACTCAAGTACAAGATCTGAGTACTTCTACTTTTACTCAAGTACAAGATCTGAGTACTTCTACTTTTACTGCTGAGTGTATATATCAGTATATATAAGTACTGACCTCTCTTCTTGGTGTACTGCTGAGTGTATATATCAGTATATATAAGTACTGACCTCTCTTCTTGGTGTACTGCTGAGTGTATATATCAGTATATATAAGTACTGACCTCTCTTCTTGGTGTACTGCTGAGTGTATATATCAGTATATATAAGTACTGACCTCTCTTCTTGGTGTACTGCTGAGTGTATATATCAGTATATATAAGTACTGACCTCTCTTCTTGGTGTACTGCTGAGTGTATATATCAGTATATATAAGTACTGACCTCTCTTCTTGGTGTACTGCTGAGTGTATATATCAGTATATATAAGTACTGACCTCTCTTCTTGGTGTACTGCTGAGTGTATATATCAGTATTTATAAGTACTGACCTCTCTTCTTGGTGTACTGCTGAGTGTATATATCAGTATATATAAGTACTGACCTCTCTTCTTGGTGTACTGCTGAGTGTATATATCAGTATTTATAAAACAGACAAGTCAAATCAAGCAATCTGATTGGTTCTTACCCGTGATATAATGAGCGTATATCACGGGTAGAATTGTAGTTACTTTTCACAACAAGTCAGTATCCCTCCACGTCTGAGAAAAGCTACAACCGTTATTGTGTTTGTTTCCCGGGGCAACACTCACAAGAAGCACCGGCTGTTGTGATGCCTGCTGGGACGTTAAGTTACCGCTTGTAATTATGCCTTTCCAAGCTTCAAAGTTGTATTTATCATCTGAATTTGGCGAAACAAGTTTAATATTCTAAAAACCAAGACTTTGTTTATTTGAAATCAGATGAAAACAAACTGTCACGGACCCTGCCGTGTTATCTATGATTACTATACGCTTTACATTCATAATGTGAGCGGGAGGGAGGGGGGGCGGCGCTGAGGAACAGCAGAGAGTTGACAGGTGTCTGTGTGGACACTCCCCTTGTTGTGCGTCAGCAGAGGCTACAGGTGTCTGTGTGACACTCCCCTTACTGTGCGTCAGCAGAGACTACAGGTGTCTGTGTGGACACTCCCCTTACTGTGCGTCAGCAGAGGCTACAGGTGTCTGTGTGACACTCCCCTTGTTGTGCGTCAGCAGAGGCTACAGGTGTCTGTGTGACACTCCCCTTACTGTGCGTCAGCAGAGACTACAGGTGTCTGTGTGGACACTCCCCTTGTTGTGCGTCAGCAGAGGCTACAGGTGTCTGTGTGACACTCCCCTTATTGTGCGTCAGCAGAGGCTACAGGTGTCTGTGTGACACTCCCCTTATTGTGCGTCAGCAGAGGCTACAGGTGTCTGTGTGGACACTCCCCTTGTTGTGCGTCAGCAGAGGCTACAGGTGTCTGTGTGACACTCCCCTTATTGTGCGTCAGCAGAGGCTACAGGTGTCTGTGTGACACTCCCCTTATTGTGCGTCAGCAGAGGCTACAGGTGTCTGTGTGGACACTCCCCTTATTGTGCGTCAGCAGAGACTACAGGTGTCTGTGTGGACACTCCCCTTGTTGTGCGTCAGCAGAGGCTACAGGTGTCTGTGTGGACACTCCCCTTATTGTGCGTCAGCAGAGGCTACAGGTGTCTGTGTGGGACACTCCCCTTGTTGTGCGTCAGCAGAGGCTACAGGTGTCTGTGTGGACACTCCCCTTATTGTGCGTCAGCAGAGGCTACAGGTGTCTGTGTGGACACTCCCCTTATTGTGCGTCAGCAGAGGCTACAGGTGTCTGTGTGACACTCCCCTTATTGTGCGTCAGCAGAGGCTACAGGTGTCTGTGTGGACACTCCCCTTATTGTGCGTCAGCAGAGGCTACAGGTGTCTTAGGTTCAAGTTAGACGACTAATGTCTGGGGTAGTGTTCATGACTTCATGTTTATGTCCTCTTAATGGTTCATCTCAATGCACACACATTTTCTGTGCTTTCCAATAGTTTTAAATAGTTTTATTCCACTGTTAAATAACCTGTTCAATACAAACATGCCACTTGTCAAAATTAAATAACATTTCTGTGAACTGATATTTGTTTAGTGAGCTCATTAGAGGATGTTCCCTGAAAGATTGTGAAATGTCAATGAAGAAGTCAGACTTAGTATATTTGTTAATAATTACATACAATTAGGGCTGTCAAGTTAACGCGTTAATAACGCGTTAACGCAAAAAAAAATTAACGCCACTAATTATTTTAACGCGATTAACGCATGTGTATTTTTTGTCCTCGGCCGCCGTAGTTTCAGAGCGCATCGAGTTTAAAATACCATCTACAAGCTGATGCTGACAGCCCCGCTCCTACTGCCCGCTTGTGGCAGACCACACTTCCACGCTCACCGGCAGGCCCGGACTGGCCATCGGGAGGACCGGGAGGGAGTGTGTATGTGTGGCGCGAGCGAAGCACACCTTACGTGTTGTTGTTAGCATCTGGTGCTAGCTAGCTGAGCTAACGGATATAAGGAGCTGTTTCAATGAAAACAGAGGAGCGACATTTCGCCGACAACTGCGCCGAGCACTTGACTTTATGCAGGTAGCCAGACAGCACACTCAGCACGGATAGTGCCGCAACACAGCTCATACACACAGGCATATATGCCTTGAGCTGCACATAGCTCCAACGATCCATCACAGTGTCTCCACACACACACACACACACACACACACACACACACACACACACACACACACACACACACACACACACACACACACACACACACACACACACACACACACACACACACACACACACACACACACACACACACACACACACACACACACACACACACACACACACACACACACACACACACACACACACACACACACACACACACACACACACACACACACACACACACACACACACACACACACTTTGTAATGTTCGGGTTGTTGTGTTTAATATTCATGAGAATATTTGTCATTGTTCAAATGATAATAAACAAACATATAAAGCATATTTGTCCACTCATATGTTGATAAGAGTATTAAAAACTTGAAAAATATCCCTCTAAGGTACATTTAGAACAGATAAAAAATGTGCGATTAATCGCGATTAACTATTTTAATCGACTGACAGCCCTACATACAATACATGGAATGTGTGTGTGTGTGTGTGTGTGTGTGTGTGTGTGTGTGTGTGTGTGTGTGTGTGTGTGTGTGTGTGTGTGTGTGTGTGTGTGTGTGTGTGTGTGTGTGTGTGTGTGTGTGTGTGTGTGTGTGTGTGTGATCCAAGTGAATCTGCGGCCCCCAGGTGGCCAGTACATAAATGATGTGGCCCCCAGCACCATCCAAGTTGCCCTTCCCTGACGTGCTACTGATGCTGGACAGGTTTTCAGTGGCTGCACAATAAACGGCAACATACACATGAATGTAAATAAATAGCTAAATAATGGATCAACGCTCTCTGTGTAATATGTTCGCTAGCTGCTGTTAGTGTTGTTGCATAGCAACCACCTCGCACTATGTTTCGTGCAGAAGGCAACGGAGGGACTATTTTATTTTGAACATCATTATTTAATAATAAAAACTATTTAAATTAGAGTGTGTATTCTTCTTTCATATTGCCACACTTGGTAACCGTTTTATAAAAGCAATAGCTCACTTCAGGCCGTGGTATATGCTCATTATATCACAGCTAGGGGGCGTGGTTCGGCCCGACGCGAAGCGGAGGGTCAACAACCCCCTTACCACTGACCTCTCTTCTTGGTGTACTGCTGCGGGGCCGTCCAGCCGTACAGTCCGTCTCCAGGCTCCTCCCCCCCCAGCTCCTTATCGTACCGGGACATGGAGTCTCGATGATAAACCTCTTCATCATCGTCATCCTCCAGAGCACCGATACCAAACGCCTACAGGACAAAGCAGCTTTCAGAAGACAACATTAAAATGCTCAATATGTTTTTGCCGTTTGATGTCCGCTACGTAAAAAGGACCGCAGCTCCTGTTGAGGGTTTCTGCCCCGTTACTTCTCCGCTGTTTCCTCGTCCCTCTCGTCTCACTTCTCCGCCCTTTCCTCGTCCCTCTCGTCTCACTTCTCCGCCCTTTCCTCGTCCCTCTCGTCTCACTTCTCCGCCCTTTCCTCGTCCCTCTCGTCTCACTTCTCCGCCCTTTCCTCGTCCCTCTCGTCTCACTTCTCCGCCGTTTCCTCGTCCCTCTCGTCTCACTTCTCCGCCCTTTCCTCGTCCCTCTCGTCTCACTTCTCCGCCCTTTCCTCGTCCCTCTCGTCTCACTTCTCCGCCGTTTCCTCGTCCCTCTCGTCTCACTTCTCCGCCCTTTCCTCGTCCCTCTCGTCTCACTTCTCCGCCCTTTCCTCGTCCCTCTCGTCTCACTTCTCCGCCCTTTCCCTCGTCCCTCTCGTCTCACTTCTCCGCCCTTTCCTCGTCCCTCTCGTCTCACTTCTCCGCCCTTTCCTCGTCCCTCTCGCCTCACTTCTCCGCCCTTTCCTCGTCCCTCTCGTCTCACTTCTCCGCCCTTTCCTCGTCCCTCTCGTCTCACTTCTCCGCCCTTTCCTCGTCCCTCTCGTCTCACTTCTCCGCCGTTTCCTCGTCCCTCTCGTCTCACTTCTCCGCCCTTTCCTCGTCCCTCTCGTCTCACTTCTCCGCCCTTTCCTCGTCCCTCTCGTCTCACTTCTCCGCCCTTTCCTTGTCCCTCCCGTCTCACTTCTCCGCCGTTTCCTCGTCCCTCTCGTCTCACTTCTCCGCCGTTTCCTCGTCCCTCTCGTCTCACTTCTCCGCCGTTTCCTCGTCCCTCTCGTCTCACTTCTCCGCCCTTTCCTCGTCCCTCTCGTCTCACTTCTCCGCCCTTTCCTCGTCCCTCTCGTCTCACTTCTCCGCCCTTTCCTTGTCCCTCCCGTCCCACTTCTCCGCCCTTTCCTTGTCCCTCTCGTCTCACTTCTCCGCTGTTTCCTTGTCCCTCTCGTCTCACTTCTCTGCTGTGTCCGGCTGCAGATGTGAGCATCCTTAGCAACGGTCAATAAGTCAGCGGTCTGTACTACTGGATTAACAACGTGTCACGTGTTCTGAGCTGACCAATCAGAATCGAGTATTCAACTAAGCCATGTAATAACTCCTATGAACTCACGGTTCCAGCGACGCCCCCTCTCTTCGCTCCTCTCTCTCGTCCTCCGAACAGTCGGCTCCTCGCCTCAGATTGAGGTCTGAACAGATCGATGTGTTCCGGCGCCGCTCGGCCCATCAGAGCGCGGCCCGGGTCCAGACCCCGGTACCCCAGACCCTGAAGGCCCCCCCGTGGTGTGAAGTCCACCGGGGTCACGTCTTTAGGGGCAAAGGTCACGTCCTCCGGGGCGAACTCATCCTCATCCTGCAGCAGAGCGGAGGGGACATGTTACTGTAAATGTGTATATATATATATAGTTTTTAAATGTCACAATAAATCACTCCATTTCCCCCATTCACTATCTCTCTCATTAAAAGGCAATATTCAATATAGGCCCTATTGACCTACACTCATACACTATGAGCTGGTCTTGCTTTGATTTCTCCTCACCGTGTGAATACGGAGATTTTCTACTTTTTCAATGCTATTTTTATTTTTAAGCGTCTCTGAGTTTCTAGAAAAGCGCTATATGAGTGATTATTATATTTCTATTTGAGATGTTTACATTGTGGATTGTTTATTTATAGTCTTTTAAATGTCTCCAATGTGCAATGCCTTGTCTCTTTATGCTGCTGCCACGCAAACATTTCCCACATGATCTCATCTCATCAAGAGTTAATGATATATCAAATAATCTGTGTTTTAACGTCCTCCACCAGGGAAGAGTCCCAACATGTCCTTAAATGCATCCCCACATGTTCTATAAATGGAGTGTAAAATAATGAAGAGAAAACTATTTTATTTTATACTTATATGTAAAAGGAACTAATCCAAATGCATAAATCAGAGAATCCTCTGAACTGTAACCTGAAGCTCAGTCTCACGTGTTCACAGTATTTCTGAAGCAGAGACCTATGTAGTTATTAAAATGCCTTTCTCTTATTTATATTTAAAAAATATATCTATGTATTATTTTAGTTATATATGAGCCTCACCTCAGAGTCCTCTGATCCAGCAGGGGGCAGCAGAGAGCCGTCTGTGAGGAGCACACAAAGAAGAACACACTATTAATACAAATAGAAACCCAAATGTAGAGATTTAATTTCCTCTTGAGAACATTTCCTCCTCCCTAGAACCCTCCTCTCAGTCGGTCATTATATCAGAGCTTTAGTCTCTTCTCCTCGTGCACGGTTTGATCTGTTCCATCTGTTCCATCTGTTCCATCTGTTCCATCAGTTCCATCTGTTCCATCTGTTCCATCTGTTCCATCTGTTCCATCAGTTCCATCTGTTCCATCAGTTCCATCTGTTCCATCAGTTCCATCAGTTCCATCAGTTCCATCTGTTCCATCTGTTCCATCAGTTCCATCAGTTCCATCTGTTCCATCTGTTCCATCTGTTCCATCAGTTCCATCTGTTCCATCAGTTCCATCAGTTCCATCTGTTCCATCTGTTCCATCTGTTCCATCTGTTCCATCTGTTCCATCAGTTCCATCTGTTCCATCTGTTCCATCTGTTCCATCTGTTCTATCTGTTCCATCTGTTCTATCTGTTCTATCTGTTCTATCTGTTGTATTAGTTCCATCTGTTCCATCTGTTCCATCTGTTCTATCTGTTCCATCTGTTCCATCTGTTCCATCTGTTCCATCTGTTCCATCTGTTCCATCTGTTCCATCCGTTCCATCCGTTCCATCCGTTCCATCCGTTCTATCCGTTCCATCCGTTCCATCCGTTCCATCCGTTCCATCCGTTCCATCCGTTCCATCCGTTCCATCTGTTCCATCTGTTCCATCTGTTCCATCTGTTCCATCTGTTCTATCTGTTCCATCTGTTCCATCTGTTCCATCTGTTCCATCTGTTCTATCTGTTCTATCTGTTCTATCTGTTATATCTGTTCCATCTGTTCCATCTGTTCTATCTGTTCCATCTGTTCTATCTGTTCTATTCCATCTGTTCCATCTGTTCCATCTGTTGTATTAGTTCTATCTGTTCTATCTGTTCTATCTGTTCTATCTGTTCTATCTGTTGTATTAGTTCTATCTGTTCTATCTGTTCTATCTGTTCTATCTGTTCTATCTGTTCCATCTGTTCTATGTCCTATATATATCCATGCTGCTCTGCTGGAGGACGTCAGTGTCTCCACCTCTCCTCTGGAGCTGCTACATGGTGAGAGAGACTGAGTGTGAGCGAAACAAACGCACCCGGGTGCTGCCTGCGGGGTTTCCTCTTCACTCGCGGCCCGACGCCCTGCCCCTGCCTCCAGCCCATCCTGCGCAGAATCTCCACCCCCACGGACGACCTGAGGGACGAAACAAACGCACCTCAGACTCCTGCTGGACCTCAGGCTTTCATTTATTAGTATTTAATAACTCTCCCTTCACCTTTACATTACTATATAAAGGTGAAGGGAGAGTTACTCAGGGACTGGTTCAGTGTCTGGTGGTGCGTTCAGGGACTGGTTCAGTGTCTGGTGGTGCGTTCAGGGACTGGTTCAGTGTGTGTTGGTGCGTTCAGGGACTGGTTCAGTGTGTGTTGGTGCGTTCAGGGACTGGTTCAGTGTCTGGTGGTGCGTTCAGGGACTGGTTCAGTGTGTGTTGGTGCGTTCAGGGACTGGTTCAGTGTGTGGTGGTGCGTTCAGGGACTGGTTCAGTGTCTGGTGGTGCGTTCAGGGACTGGTTCAGTGTGTGTTGGTGCGTTCAGGGACTGGTTCAGTGTGTGGTGGTGCGTTCAGGGACTGGTTCAGTGTGTGGTGGTGCGTTCAGGGACTGGTTCAGTGTGTGTTGGTGCGTTCAGGGACTGGTTCAGTGTGTGTTGGTGCGTTCAGGGACTGGTTCAGTGTGTGGTGGTGCGTTCAGGGACTGGTTCAGTGTGTGTTGGTGCGTTCAGGGACTGGTTCAGTGTCTGGTGGTGCGTTCAGGGACTGGTTCAGTGTCTGGTGGTGCGTTCAGGGACTGGTTCAGTGTGTGTTGGTGCGTTCAGGGACTGGTTCAGTGTGTGGTGGTGCGTTCAGGGACTGGTTCAGTGTGTGGTGGTGCGTTCAGGGACTGGTTCAGTGTCTCGCGGTGCGTTCAGTGTGTGTTGGTGCGTTCAGGGACTGGCTAAGTGTGTATTGGTGCGTTCAGGGACTGGTTCAGTGTGTGGTGGTGCGTTCAGGGACTGGTTCAGTGTCTCGCGGTGCGTTCAGTGTCTGGTTCAGTGTCTGGTTCAGTGTCTCGCGGTGCGTTCAGTGTGTGTTGGTGCGTTCAGGGACTGGTTCAGTGTGTGGTGTTGCGTTCACTGTCGCGTTCAGTGTCTGGTTCAGTGTGTGGTGGTGCGTTCAGTGTCTGGTTCAGTGTGTGGTGGTGCGTTCAGGGACTGGTTCAGTGTGTGGTGGTGCGTTCAGGGACTGGTTCAGTGTGTGGTGGTGCGTTCAGGGACTGGTTCAGTGTCTGGTGGTGCGTTCAGGGACTGGTTCAGTGTCTGGTGGTGCGTTCAGGGACTGGTTCAGTGTGTGTTGGTGCGTTCAGGGACTGGTTCAGTGTGTGGTGGTGCGTTCAGGGACTGGTTCAGTGTGTGGTGGTGCGTTCAGGGACTGGTTCAGTGTGTGGTGGTGCGTTCAGGGACTGGTTCAGTGTGTGTTGGTGCGTTCAGGGACTGGTTCAGTGTGTGGTGGTGCGTTCAGGGACTGGTTCAGTGTGTGTTGGTGCGTTCAGGGACTGGTTCAGTGTGTGTTGGTGCGTTCAGGGACTGGTTCAGTGTGTGGTGGTGCGTTCAGGGACTGGTTCAGTGTCTCGCGGTGCGTTCAGTGTGTGTTGGTGCGTTCAGGGACTGGCTAAGTGTGTATTGGTGCGTTCAGGGACTGGTTCAGTGTGTGGTGGTGCGTTCAGGGACTGGTTCAGTGTCTCGCGGTGCGTTCAGTGTCTGGTTCAGTGTCTGGTTCAGTGTCTCGCGGTGCGTTCAGTGTGTGTTGGTGCGTTCAGGGACTGGTTCAGTGTGTGGTGTTGCGTTCACTGTCGCGTTCAGTGTCTGGTTCAGTGTGTGGTGGTGCGTTCAGTGTCTGGTTCAGTGTGTGGTGGTGCGTTCAGGGACTGGTTCAGTGTGTGGTGGTGCGTTCAGGGACTGGTTCAGTGTGTGGTGGTGCATTCAGGGACTGGTTCAGTGTGTGGTGGTGCATTCAGGGACTGGTTCAGTGTGTGGTGGTACGTTCAGGGACTGGTTCAGTGTGTGGTGGTGCGTTCAGGGACTCGTGGTGCGTTCAGGTACCGTGCTGGAGCGATGAGTTCCTCCAGTTTTGTGTCTCCTGTAATAACGGAGTTTTGAGCGTTCACGGCTCTCGCTGTTTCTCTGGTTTTGTCTGTGCGGCTCGACGTGAACTCCTGAGACGTTCTGATCTGACTCGGGGCGATGCCGTGCTCCCCGAAGTCCTGACAACAACAACAAGAACATCATCAACAACAACAACATCACTGTCACTGACTCTGCTTTCTTTCCTATATCTGGGTGTAAATTAAACACTGATTGTTTTCCTCGTTACCTCCTCGTCCATGAAATCTTCCGGTCGGGCATTTTGTTTCTCAGATTTCTGTTGCCGCGACGACACAAATGTTGACGGGGCCCAGCCTTAAAAACAACAACAACAACAACAACAACAGGATCAGGACAACAAGTCAACAACACACAGTTCAGGTTGTTTATTGGTAACTGTAGGGAATGCATTGATGGTACTCTTGGCTCCAGGTGTCACTGATATGTGGAGGTGTGAATCCTCCTGATGGAGCGGCACTGACCTTCCTTAGTGCCCACGGTGTTGAAATATCCTGCAGAAAAGCCTCCAGTGAACGCCCCGTGAAACCTCTGAAACCTTCCCTTCTCATCTTTCACCATCTGGTCGTGAAGAGGAACCGGCCTCTTCCTCGCCTCGTCTGGAACACACACAACACTTCATTATACTCTCAACACTTCTTATACACTCAGAAAGAATACTTCTGATACACAACATTTTTTTTTTTTATTAAAATAATAATAAGTGGCGTCCGTTTTTCATTTTTGATTGTTTGTTATGTGGATTTGTAGTATTTGTGTTACTGTGTGTTCAATAAAGGTGTATTTTGGAGGTAAAGGACTCTCTGAGGGTTCAGATAGTTCACTTTAGTCTCAGTTATCTCAGTGAGGTAAAGGACTCTCTGAGGGTTCAAATAGTTCACTTTAGTCTCAGTTATCTCAGTGAGGTAAAGGACTCTCTGAGGGTTCAGATAGTTCACTTTAGTCTCAGTTATCTCAGTGAGGTAAAGGACTCTCTGAGGGTTCAGATAGTTCACTTTAGTCTCAGTTATCTCAGTGAGGTAAAGGACTCTCTGAGGGTTCAGATAGTTCACTTTAGTCTCAGTTATCTCAGTGAGGTAAAGGACTCTCTGAGGGTTTAGATAGTTCACTTTAGTCTCAGTTATCTCAGTGAGGTAAAGGACTCTCTGAGGGTTCAGATAGTTCACTTTAGTCTCAGTTATCTCAGTGAGGTAAAGGACTCTCTGAGGGTTTAGATAGTTCACTTTAGTCTCAGTTATCTCAGTGAGGTAAAGGACTCTCTGAGGGTTCAGATAGTTCACTTTAGTCTCAGTTATCTCAGTGAGGTAAAGGACTCTCTGAGGGTTCAGATAGTTCACTTTAGTCTCAGTTATCTCAGTGAGGTAAAGGACTCTCTGAAGGTTCAGATAGTTCACTTTAGTCTCAGTTATCTCAGTGAGGTAAAGGACTCTCTGAGGGTTCAGATAGTTCACTTTAGTCTCAGTTATATCAGTGAGGTAAAGGACTCTCTGAAGGTTCAGATAGTTCACTTTAGTCTCAGTTATCTCAGTGAGGTAAAGGACTCTCTGAGGGTTCAGATAGTTCACTTTAGTCTCAGTTATCTCAGTGAGGTAAAGGACTCTCTGAGGGTTCAGATAGTTCACTTTAGTCTCAGTTATCTCAGTGAGGTAAAGGACTCTCTGAGGGCTCAGATAGTTCACTTTAGTCTCAGTTATCTCAGTGAGGTAAAGGACTCTCTGAGGGTTCAGATAGTTCACTTTAGTCTCAGTTATCTCAGTGAGGGAAAGGACTCTCTGAGGGTTTAGATAGGTTCACTTTAGTCTCAGTTATCTCAGTGAGGTAAAGGACTCTCTGAGGGTTCAGATAGTTCACTTTAGTCTCAGTTATCTCAGTGAGGTAAAGGACTCTCTGAGGGTTCAGATAGTTCACTTTAGTCTCAGTTATCTCAGTGAGGTAAAGGACTCTCTGAGGGTTCAGATAGTTCACTTTAGTCTCAGTTATCTCAGTGAGGTAAAGGACTCTCTGAGGGTTCAGATAGTTCACTTTAGTCTCAGTTATCTTCAGTGAGGTAAAGGACTCTCTGCGGGTTCAGATAGTTCACTTTAGTCTCAGTTATCTCAGTGAGGTAAAGGACTCTCTGAGGGTTTCAGATAGTTCACTTTAGTCTCAGTTATCTCAGTGAGGTAAGGACTCTCTGAGGGTTTCAGATAGTTCACTTTAGTCTCAGTTATCTCAGTGAGGTAAAGGACTCTCTGAGGGTTCAGATAGTTCACTTTAGTCTCAGTTATCTCAGTAAGGTAAAGGACTCTCTGAGGGTTTAGATAGTTCACTTTAGTCTCAGTTATCTCAGTGAGGTAAAGGACTCTCTGAGGGTTCAGATAGTTCACTTTACTCTCAGTTATCTCAGTGAGGTAAAGGACTCTCTGAGGGTTCACATAGTTCACTTTAGTCTCAGTTATCTCAGTGAGGTAAAGGACTCTCTGAGGGTTCAGATAGTTCACTTTAGTCTCAGTTATCTCAGTGAGGTAAAGGACTCTCTGAGGGTTCAGATAGTTCACTTTACTCTCAGTTATCTCAGTGAGGTAAAGGACTCTCTGAGGGTTCACATAGTTCACTTTAGTCTCAGTTATCTCAGTGAGGTAAAGGACTCTCTGAGGGTTCAGATAGTTCACTTTAGTCTCAGTTATCTCAGTGAGGTAAAGGACTCTCTGAGGGTTCAGATAGTTCACTTTAGTCTCAGTTATCTCAGTGAGGTAAAGGACTCTCTGAGTGTTCAGATAGTTCACTTTAGTCTCAGTTATCTCAGTGAGGTAAAGGACTCTCTGAGGGTTCAGATAGTTCACTTTAGTCTCAGTTATCTCAGTGAGGTAAAGGACTCTCTGAGGGTTCAGATAGTTCACTTTAGTCTCAGTTATCTCAGTGAGGTAAAGGACTCTCTGAGGGTTTCAGATAGTTCACTTTAGTCTCAGTTATCTCAGTGAGGTAAAGGACTCTCTGAGGGTTCAGATAGTTCACTTTAGTCTCAGTTATCTCAGTGAGGTAAAGGACTCTCTGAGGGTTCAGATAGTTCACTTTAGTCTCAGTTATCTCAGTGAGGTAAAGGACTCTCTGAGGGTTCAGATAGTTCACTTTAGTCTCAGTTATCTCAGTGAGGTAAAGGACTCTCTGAGGGTTCAGATAGTTCACTTTAGTCTCAGTTATCTCAGTGAGGTAAAGGACTCTCTGAGGGTTCAGATAGTTCACTTTAGTCTCAGTTATCTCAGTGAGGTAAAGGACTCTCTGAGGGTTCAGATAGTTCACTTTAGTCTCAGTTATCTCAGTGAGGTAAAGGACTCTCTGAGGGTTCAGATAGTTCACTTTAGTCTCAGTTATCTCAGTGAGGTAAAGGACTCTCTGAGGTTCAGATAGTTCACTTTAGTCTCAGTTATCTCAGTGAGGTAAAGGACTCTCTGAGGGTTTAGATAGTTCACTTTAGTCTCAGTTATCTCAGTGAGGTGAAGGACTCTCTGAGGGTTCAGATAGTTCACTTTAGTCTCAGTTATCTCAGTGAGGTAAAGGACTCTCTGAGGGTTCAGATAGTTCACTTTAGTCTCAGTTATCTCAGTGAGGTAAAGGACTCTCTGAGGGTTCAGATAGTTCACTTTAGTCTCAGTTATCTCAGTGAGGTAAAGGACTCTCTGAGGGTTCAGATAGTTCACTTTAGTCTCAGTTATCTCAGTGAGGTAAAGGACTCTCTGAGGGTTCAGATAGTTCACTTTAGTCTCAGTTATCTCAGTGAGGTAAAGGACTCTCTGAGGGTTCAGATAGTTCACTTTAGTCTCAGTTATCTCAGTGAGGTAAAGGACTCTCTGAGGGTTCAGATAGTTCACTTTAGTCTCAGTTATCTCAGTGAGGTAAAGGACTCTCTGAGGGTTCAGATAGTTCACTTTAGTCTCAGTTATCTCAGTGAGGTAAAGGACTCTCTGAGGGTTCAGATAGTTCACTTTAGTCTCAGTTATCTCAGTGAGGTAAAGGACTCTCTGAGGGTTTAGATAGTTCACTTTAGTCTCAGTTATCTCAGTGAGGTAAAGGACTCTCTGAGGGTTCAGATAGTTCACTTTAGTCTCAGTTATCTCAGTAAGGTAAAGGACTCTCTGAGGGTTTAGATAGTTCACTTTAGTCTCAGTTATCTCAGTGAGGTAAAGGACTCTCTGAGGGTTCAGATAGTTCACTTTACTCTCAGTTATCTCAGTGAGGTAAAGGACTCTCTGAGGGTTCACATAGTTCACTTTAGTCTCAGTTATCTCAGTGAGGTAAAGGACTCTCTGAGGGTTCAGATAGTTCACTTTAGTCTCAGTTATCTCAGTGAGGTAAAGGACTCTCTGAGGGTTCAGATAGTTCACTTTACTCTCAGTTATCTCAGTGAGGTAAAGGACTCTCTGAGGGTTCAGATAGTTCACTTTAGTCTCAGTTATCTCAGTGAGGTAAAGGACTCTCTGAGGGTTCAGATAGTTCACTTTAGTCTCAGTTATCTCAGTGAGGTAAAGGACTCTCTGAGGGTTCAGATAGTTCACTTTAGTCTCAGTTATCTCAGTGAGGTAAAGGACTCTCTGAGGGTTCAGATAGTTCACTTTAGTCTCAGTTATCTCAGTGAGGTAAAGGACTCTCTGAGGGTTCAGATAGTTCACTTTAGTCTCAGTTATCTCAGTGAGGTAAAGGACTCTCTGAGGGTTCAGATAGTTCACTTTAGTCTCAGTTATCTCAGTGAGGTAAAGGACTCTCTGAGGGTTCAGATAGTTCACTTTAGTCTCAGTTATCTCAGTGAGTAAAGGACTCTCTGAGGGTTCAGATAGTTCACTTTAGTCTCAGTTATCTCAGTGAGGTAAAGGACTCTCTGAGGGTTCAGATAGTTCACTTTAGTCTCAGTTATCTCAGTGAGGTAAAGGACTCTCTGAGGGTTCAGATAGTTCACTTTAGTCTCAGTTATCTCAGTGAGGTAAAGGACTCTCTGAGGGTTCAGATAGTTCACTTTAGTCTCAGTTATCTCAGTGAGGTAAAGGACTCTCTGAGGGTTCAGATAGTTCACTTTAGTCTCAGTTATCTCAGTGAGGTAAAGGACTCTCTGAGGGTTCAGATAGTTCACTTTAGTCTCAGTTTATCTCAGTGAGGTAAAGGACTCTCTGAGGGTTCAGATAGTTCACTTTAGTCTCAGTTATCTCAGTGAGGTAAAGGACTCTCTGAGGGTTCAGATAGTTCACTTTAGTCTCAGTTATCTCAGTGAGGTAAAGGACTCTCTGAGGGTTCAGATAGTTCACTTTAGTCTCAGTTATCTCAGTGAGGTAAAGGACTCTCTGAGGGTTCAGATAGTTCACTTTAGTCTCAGTTATCTCAGTGAGGTAAAGGACTCTCTGAGGGTTCAGATAGTTCACTTTAGTCTCAGTTATCTCAGTGAGGTAAAGGACTCTCTGAGGGTTCAGATAGTTCACTTTAGTCTCAGTTATCTCAGTGAGGTAAAGGACTCTCTGAGGGTTCAGATAGTTCACTTTAGTCTCAGTTATCTCAGTGAGGTAAAGGACTCTCTGAGGGTTCAGATAGTTCACTTTAGTCTCAGTTATCTCAGTGAGGTAAAGGACTCTCTGAGGGTTCAGATAGTTCACTTTAGTCTCAGTTATCTCAGTGAGGTAAAGGACTCTCTGAGGGTTCAGATAGTTCACTTTAGTCTCAGTTATCTCAGTGAGGTAAAGGACTCTCTGAGGGTTCAGATAGTTCACTTTAGTCTCAGTTATCTCAGTGAGGTAAAGGACTCTCTGAGGGTTCAGATAGTTCACTTTAGTCTCAGTTATCTCAGTGAGGTAAAGGACTCTCTGAGGGTTTAGATAGTTCACTTAGTCTCAGTGTATCTCAGTGAGGTAAGGACTCTCTGAGGGTTCAGATAGTTCACTTTAGTCTCAGTTATCTCAGTGAGGTAAATGACTCTCTGAGGGTTCAGATAGTTCACTTTAGTCTCAGTATCTCAGTGAGGGTAATAGACTCTTGAGGGTTCAGATAGTTCACTTTAGTCTCAGTTATCTCAGTAAGGTAAAGGACTCTCTGAGGGTTCAGATAGTTCACTTTAGTCTCAGTTATCTCAGTGAGGTAAAGGACTCTCTGAGGGTTCAGATAGTTCACTTAGTCTCAGTTATCTCAGTGAGGTAAAGGGACTCTCTGAGGGTTCAGATAGTTCACTTTTAGTCTCAGTTATCTCAGTGAGGTAAAGGACTCTCTGAGGGTTCAGATAGTTCACTTTAGTCTCAGTTATCTCAGTGAGGTAAAGGACTCTCTGAGGGTTCAGATAGTTCACTTTAGTCTCAGTTATCTCAGTGAGGTAAAGGACTCTCTGAGGGTTCAGATAGTTCACTTTAGTCTCAGTTATCTCCGTGAGGTAAAGGACTCTCTGAGGGTTCAGATAGTTCACTTTAGTCTCAGTTATCTCAGTGGGTCTCAAACGTTTTGACCACAAATTATGTAAACACATATTTCCAAGGCACTCCTTTATAATTATTAGGATGAATAAAAACAGGTTTGAAATCATTCCAGTGTATACTATAGGACAGAAAACCAGACATATCGTTTACAGTTGGAGAGATACAAACATATGCATAAATAAATAAATGTTAACCAGATAAAATAAGATATGAATGAACAACAAAAATAAAATACGTTACATGTATTTGTTATTGGCTATGGGTTATTGGTTATGTTCATATACTTATTGATTATTAAAATGTAAACCGATCTTTTTCATATGGGTGTTTTAGAGTTGTACCCCCTAGATCAGGTCTCTAGATCAGGTCTCTAGATCAGGTCTCTAGATCAGGTCCCTATATCAGGTCCCTAGATCAGGTCTCTAGATCAGGTCTCTAGATCAGGTCCCTAGATCAGGTCTCTAGATCAGGTCCATAGATCAGGTCCCTAGATCAGGTCCCTAGATCAGGTCTCTAGATCAGGTCTCTAGATCAGGTCTCTAGATCAGGTCCCTAGATCAGGTCCCTAGATCAGGTCCCTAGATCAGGTCTCTAGATCAGGTCCCTAGATCAGGTCTCTAGATCAGGTCTCTAGATCAGGTCCCTAGATCAGGTCTCTAGATCAGGTCCCTAGATCAGGTCTCTAGATCAGGTCTCTAGATCAGGTCTCTAGATCAGGTCTCTAGATCAGGTCCCTAGATCAGGTCCCTAGATCAGGTCCCTAGATCAGGTCTCTAGATCAGGTCCCTAGATCAGGTCTCTAGATCAGGTCTCTAGATCAGGTCCCTAGATCAGGTCTCTAGATCAGGTCCATAGATCAGGTCCCTAGATCAGGTCTCTAGATCAGGACCCTAGATCAGGTCTCTAGATCAGGTCTCTAGATCAGGTCCCTAGATCAGGTCCCTAGATCAGGTCTCTAGATCAGGTCCCTAGATCAGGTCCCTAGATCAGGTCTCTAGATCAGGTCCCTAGATCAGGACCCTAGATCAGGTCCCTAGATCAGGTCCCTAGATCAGGTCCCTAGATCAGGTCTCTAGATCAGGTCTCTAGATCAGGTCTCTAGATCAGGTCCCTAGATCAGGTCCCTAGATCAGGTCCCTAGATCAGGTCTCTAGATCAGGTCCCTAGATCAGGTCCCTAGATCAGGTCTCTAGATCAGGTCCCTAGATCAGGTCCCTAGATCAGGTCTCTAGATCAGGTCCCTAGATCAGGTCTCTAGATCAGGTCTCTAGATCAGGTCCCTAGATCAGGTCTCTAGATCAGGTCTCTAGATCAGGTCTCTAGATCAGGTCCCTAGATCAGGTCCCTAGATCAGGTCTCTAGATCAGGTCCCTAGATCAGGTCTCTAGATCAGGTCTCTAGATCAGGTCTCTAGATCAGGTCCCTAGATCAGGTCCCTAGATCAGGTCTCTAGATCAGGTCTCTAGATCAGGTCCCTAGATCAGGACCCTAGATCAGGTCTCTAGATCAGGTCTCTAGATCAGGTCTCTAGTGATTGTGTGCTCAAAGTGCACCAGATTGAAGCACTTTACTTAGCTCTGTGAGTGCAGTGTGTATCTCTGTGAGTGCACAGTGTGTATCTCTGTGAGTGCACAGTGTGTATCTCTGTTAGTGCACAGTGTGTATCTCTGTTAGTGCACAGTGTGTATCTCTGTGAGTGCACAGTGTGTATCTCTGTTAGTGCACAGTGTGTATCTCTGTTAGTGCACAGTGTGTATCTCTGTTAGTGCACAGTGTGTATCTCTGTTAGTGCACAGTGGGTATCTCTGTTAGTGCACAGTGTGTATCTCTGTTAGTGCACAGTGTGTATCTCTGTTAGTGCACAGTGTGTATCTCTGTTAGTGCACAGTGGGTATCTCTGTGAGTGCACAGTGGGTCCCCATGCTGCTGTGTAGCTCGGGCACAACAGAGACCTTCAGGATAAACACCATCCTATCTTATCTGTTCTTAAAGATCCTGAGTGTTTGTGATTCATGAACTCCACTTCTGAGTTCATATGTGTACTTATATGTGTTACTGCCAGAGAACAGGCACAGGTAGCCGGCTCAAGAGACACACAAACAAGATATTTAATCACACAAACACTCATATTTAAATGTATTTCATTTCAAACTCAGATTTGAGTGTGGAGGCTAATAGCTTGTTGTTAGCTCGTTAGCTTAGCATCCTCTGAAGTGGCCGTTAAACACGCGCTGTGTCATTTCTCTCCAGATATAAACACGGTCATGATGTTAAAAGGTTAAAGAAAGGTTTAATAAAGGTTAAATAAAGACACTCAGAGCTTCTTTACCTTCTTCCAGAGGCTCCAGAGGAACCCCGTAACTCACGAAGTCCTCCTCACCGTCAGACGCCATGTTTTACTATCACTACCGGGGCCGCGGGGGGACAAAGTTCACAGGAAACGCGAAGTCAGGAGGAGGAAAAGCGACACCTGGTGAACTAACACTGGAACTACCACGTTCATATATACTGTTTATTAATACATGAATGAAACAAATAATAATAATAACAACAATAATAATAATGATCTCGGCTCTGGAGTATTCATCTGTAAATATCTGTCATTTATTATTTTAATATGATTTGCTAGCTTCCTTCCTCCATACTCATCACTGATTGGATTATCAGATTGTCGTGTTCATTGGGATTTCCACATGTCAAAAGTGTTATCTGCAGTTTATATATAGGAATAGAGAGTGAAGTGATGGTCTGTGTGACGGGGGAGGGGTCTGGCCTCAGCGTCTCACTTTGGACTGAAGACAGTGTTTTAAAGTGTCTCTGAGGATCTGCTGGACATCGCATGTCGGTCCAAAGCTCACAG